GTATGAAAAACCAAAAATTTAGAGACAAAGGGGGGGGGGGGGGGGTGTGTATGTAAACACTGGCAAAAAAAAAACATTTCTATCGATTTCAGTTTGAATACAGGAGAACACAGTGCCCCTGCAGATCAGAACAGAAACTCCCCTTGTGTACGAAGAATATACAGAATGATAAGAGGTCTGGATACAGCCGCTACCAAGAAAATGCATGCAATGGCTTGCGTCTCCTCCAAACAGATTAGGAAGGGTCTGGAGGCATTAACTATATCAAAAACAATGCATCTTTTTAATGGGTCATTCATGCCCAGCACATTCCATTAAATAAGGCTCATGTTAGTCCTGGACATGAAGTATGGATAAATATGTGAAACTGGCAAATGAGCCAAGATTGATTCAGAAAAGATGTAAAGGAATTCCAGCAAACAGTTCCATCATTCAAATGAGTAGTCCACAAAGCTGTTTAAAGAACCAAACATTAATCATGCAGAATGGCTGTGGAAACGACAAAACACAAACAAGAAAAACTGCATACGAAACAGAAACAATAACTGTCGGGATCCAAGGTGGCCATTTCCTTCTAATCCCTGAGATCGGGCCACAACAGAACGAAAGAATATGGTCAGGATAGAGCATGGCTTGATAGATGAGCATTTTCTGGCTGAGCAGGAGAAGACATCTGCTTTGACAGCGACAAATGTTCCTTGCCAGTGGTATCTATCAACCATTGTTCTGCAAAGTTCCCTGGCTTGTTACCTTCCACCCACTCTGGGAGGCCCACCAAGCAGAGATTATTGCGACAGAGATGTTTTTCAAAAGCTTCAGCTTGCTGGAGCTGTTTCTCCAAACGATGAAACACAGATTTAATGTCAGAGCTAAGAGGATGTAGCGCATCCTTGATCTCGCTCACCTGGCTTTTCACTGCAGAAGTACTTTCCACACATTCATGGAGTTTCTGTAGGTCATGACGCAGCAGGGAGAAATCAGTACGAAGACCCTGTACTTGATCCGTGAGATTAGATACTGAAGCGTTGCAGTTCTTTGCGGCTGACAGCACATCATGCAGCGTAGGCTCTGAGGTCCACCCCCATCTCCACTATCTGGCCACAGTGCATTAGAATTAGGGAGGCTTGGTGCAACGAGAATCGGCCACCATGCCCCCACACATTTCCTCATCCTGTGATTCACAAAACCTGGCCCTGTAATGGACAGTCAGATCTGCTGAAGGAAGAGACTGGGGCAGTGATCGTGGAGCACTGTCACTTTCTAGATTGGGATGCCTCGCATACCTTTCTGGGCGAGTGGCTGGCTCCTCCTCCCATAGCTAGTCCTGTGCTGCTCGGGCCACCGTGGAGCTGCTGCCATCTTGCGGGCTGAGCTGGTGCAGGAGAGTGGAGGCTGGAACTATTGGTTGCCGGGGCACTGTGTTGAGGGGCACTGTACTGTAGCTTAGCCCGCAGATAGGAGCCACACAGCTGTAGAAGGGGGTGGTCAGGATAACAGTAGGAATAATTGCCAGAGCTCTTACAGGTTTATTTGTCTACATCTGCGGCTGGCCATGCACCCCCCAACTGCTGATATCTTTACAAAATTGTTGTTTCAACACACTGCCACACCCACCTATAGAATACATGCTGGTCTAAATTAATTAACAAAGACTATTTATTTGACGTTTCATAACACAAAGTGAGGGAATTTTTTCCACATTATATAGTAAAACAAAACAACAACAAAATCTGTCTCAATGACAAAATTAATTTAGGTACACTATTTATGAGTAATTTGTCAATCTTTCACAGCACTGAAAACTGAAAAACAGCCTGGTAATGTGGGAGTATATAATGGCCAGTACTCAAGTGGTTAAACTGTGCATCTTCCCACATTGACCAGTAGACATTTTAAATCAGGCTGACAGTTCTAATGTGTAAGAGCTAGAGTAGAGGGACCCTTTAAGTCATTGTACTTATCCTGCTGTGTTTATTTCACATTAATCTCTGAGTAACTTATGTTTCAGGTTTTGGAAGAGTGTATATAAGGGTGTGTAAGGGGTGTATATAGGCAGCACAAACAGTTCAGGAAGTGAGTTGTACAGTACATATAGAACAAATGATACGTTTAGAAAATGTGGTCTCTTGTGAGGCTGAGGGCTGGTGACGACTTGGGCGATCCTGGCACACACGATCGTGTGTGTTTGCCGTGCGGCCCCATTGATTTCAATAGAGTTACATCAGCACAGCAATCGCTGAAAAAGGGTTGTCACGTACCTTGGAGGAGTCTGAGTTGACGAGGGCGGCCTCTCTCACAACTCCGGTCCCGGAGCACCTGGATTGGGTACAGGGGTGCCGGGGCACAGAGGGGCAAGGGTGCCAAAGGGTGATGAGTGCGTTGTGTTCGTAGATCCGGGCAGGAAGCAGGATATAGATGCACAGTAGAGTGGATCAGTGGCGTAACAACCGGGGGGGGGCAGCAGGGGCGCGGGCCCCGGGCGAATAGTGAAGGGGGGGCGCGGGCCGAAAATGCCACTTTCGGCTAAATGCAGTTACGCCACTGGAGTGGATCAAGGAGACTCCACATCAGACAAGCTGAGAAAGCTGGATACGGATGCTCACTGAGGCAAAGCACAAGGCAGAAGGATCGTCAAGACAGGCTGAGGTCATCAAGGAGCTGGCAACGCAGTATCAGGGGTGAGGCAGAATCAAGGTCAAGAACAAGCCGGGGTCTTCAGGGAACAGACAAACAGCAGAAGGTCGTCCAAGCCGGGTCAGTAACGGGTAATCAGGATGAAAGAATACAGGAACACAGGATACAGGGAAGCTGACAATCTGACAGCATAGGAGGATATCTGCACACAGCCTTTATAGCCCAGTTGGCGCCAATTGCTCAAATGACATGTCCTGTGCGCACGTACGCGAACACGTCTATGCAGAGACGCCGTTTGTATTACGGCTCTATGGTCCGCAACAGGTGCATGCGCAGACGGCGACACTTGACCATTGGCTCTGGCTTTCTGATAACGGTACATGTAGCTTTTTTCATGACTCACATTTTATTTTCAACCGCAATTGTGCGTGATTACGCCGACATCACCACGGGGGGAAACTGCACAATCTGCCTGGCGTGACTGGGCTGCCATTAGAAAATAATGGTACCGCCAGCGCGATCAGCGGTGGTATGCAACTCTGTGACCGTGCGGCCATCCACATGGTTTTGTACACAATTGCTGCGCGGTCACGGATCGCCCAGGTGTGAACCTGGCCTAAATCAGGTATATTCTACTTGTATAGAAAGCAATTGATCGCTAGGGAAAGCCATTATAACTGTTTGAAAAAGGTTCTATCTAGGGATGCTCCGATACCACAAGACCGAGTACGAGTACCGATACTTTTTTTCAAGTACTCGCCGATACCAATTACCAATACATTTTCTTAAAGGGACAGGTCACATTTTCTCTAAAGCAATACAAAATCATGATTTTAGGTCAGTTTCTTAATATTATGAACAACATGAACATGAAATGAATATTTACCATGCCATTGCTAACTAAGGCTTGTATCCCCATAGTGGGGAAAATAGATGAGCACATGTCCAGTGTGGCACAGCTATATCCAATTCTGCATACCTGGCTTTATATTATATACCTATAAAGCCAGGTATGCAGAATTGAATATAGCTGTGCCAAACTATACAATAATACACTGTTCTGGAGTCTGGACATGTGCTCATCTATTTTCCCCATTAGGGGGATACAAGCCCTGGTTAGCAATGACATGATCTAAATATTCAGTTCATTTCATTATTCAATGTCTTTTTTTTATATTATAACATTTATAATATATAAAAAAAGACATTGAATAATGAAATTAATATTTAGATCATGCTATTGCTAACTAAGGCTTGTATCCCCATAGTAAGGAAAATAGATGAGCACA